TCTGGTAACAGTTTTTCTACCCTGTTTTTGACTGCAAGTGACCCTCTGTTCCATCATATTTTCTATTTATTTGGCATGCCTTATAGTTTACTAACTTACTACATATATTTAACACAATTCTGCCTATGTCTCACAAAGTGCAGGCTTACTCATATCCTAAATTTAAAACATCCTACGAACCTTGCATTTATCTCCTCAGCTACTCGAATACTTACTGGCTACAGCTACCACTTCCATCCTTAATTAAGCTGCAAAGGCACTCAGCCTCCTTGAAGTGCAAAGCTGGAGGAGGCGAGTAGAAGACAAATGGTGTTCTTTTTGTGCTGCATTAGATACTGTGTTTTCTCCTGGTGAAAACTGTAAAACTTAAAAAAAAAAGTGTGGAATAAAGGAGGAGCTGTGATGCAAAAGCCTCAAATAAGGCTGTCTCTCTGGGGTTAGTGGGGTTCAGAGACAAGAGAGCATTCCCTTCCTCCCAGTTCCCCAACCTCAACATCATGAGCCCTTTTGGGTTCTACCCACTAGGGTGTGCTAACTGGTCCTTAAGACAGTAGGGATGGGAGCATCCTAAAATGGACAGGATGGTCCCCGAAAGTGTTAGCTGGCTCAGTGTTTCAAGCCTTCCAAGCCCAAGATACCCTGAACTGAAGGAATGTGGAAGGCACAGTGAGGATAAGGGTTCATGAGGAAGTATCATTGGGGGTGTTGGGGCTGATCAGACATAGACAACAAGAAGGAGAGGAGGGTCAGGGTTGCACAAGTGGAACACAGAGGGATGAATGAGTCTGGGAGAAGGAGAGAAGCCTTGGATGTTGCAGGAGCTGTGTTTTGCATAGCAAGTGAGGATATGCAGGGTCCATATGAGCGGAATCTAAGCCGGAAAACAAGGGTTGAGTATGTCAGTCTATAGTACCTGCTACATCCTTGGGAATAAGGTAGGTTAAGAAAACAGTGAGCTATCCAATGAATGCACAGGGTAAAACAAGAAAGGGGCCTGAAAATGAGTTCAGAATTCTGGGCCTGAATGTCTGCTCCCCAGGCCTATCTACCAGACCAGAATCTCTACATATAAGGACCAGAAATGTGATGTGCGGCAAGCAACCTTGGGCATTTTTGAAGCATAATGAAGTTTGAGAACAATAGATGTAGTATCAGGAGAACTAGCCGAGAAAGAGCAGGCTATGAGGCTGCAGGAAAACTATGAAAGCAGAGTCCTACAACCTAGGAAAAGAGAATACTGAAAACAAGGCTTTTGGTGGAAATGGCTGCCGTAGGCAGAACTGTTCAGTTCATGGTACTCACAAGTGTGTGAAATCAATATGGAGTTGTGAGTGAAATCAATATCACTATGTGAAAAGAAGCCCAAAATTAATTTTAGAACTTTATTGTTTACAGTCATGGTGGGGTCTCATCTGTGATCCCAGCAATTGGGAGCAGAGGCGAAGGGTTGTTGCATATTTTAGGATAATCTATGCTATAATATGAGAGACTATGTGAAAAACAAAACACCCCCCAAAACAAACCAAGTCAGACCAAACAAAAAGCTCAAAGAGAAAAGAAATCTATTGTTTAACCCAATCTGACTGAAACAGTTTTGAGATATAATTAACATAAAAATGTGTGAGATGTGCCACACTTTTTTTCATATTAAAATTTGGAAATCTAGTGTTTTATACCTTGAGCACTTCTCAATTTGCACTTTTCAGATACACAGTAGCCACACATATTAGCACAGCTACAGAAGTATATATGAAAAGGAATGAATGAAAACAGCAAAGAAATTAAAAAATACAAAAACCAAAGTAAACACCTTGACTGTAGTGATAAGGTATTCCCAGCGGGTGTGATATGACTCTTTTCAGGGAAGCGGTGGGAAGCCAGAAAAACAAAAAACAAAACAAAACCCAAAAAATAAAACAACCATAAAAAACAAACAAACAAACAAAAAAACAAAAACCACACAGTTAGAGATGCCAGCCACACACAGACAATAAAAAGATATGTTTGCTTTGTTAGGTATTAACACCATTTGTCAGTTAACATTAAGTATGAATTTTAAAATCAGACCATCCAATTCAGCTTTTTAAATTAGATTATTAATGTTTGGACTTCACTTAGGTAGGCACTAGAGCTTAGCTAGAAAACTGAACAAGACAAATGGAAAAATTTCTGGGATAACACACAGGGCAAGATTGTGACTTCTAAGAGACAGAAACAAATGTTAATGAATTCTACAGGGTCTCCCAACCTAATATCCAGAGACAGTATTCACGGCATAGGGGAAGATGAGGGCCCAATCTTCACTGAGTGAAGGAGACAGAGGTGGGAATGCAGGGTGTGGGGGGCAGATGACAGTCCTATCAGGAAGGAGGGAGTGTCCCTGAGAACATCTAGGCATATGCAGAGTGTTCCTTTGTACCTTGGGCTGGGTACTAACGATCTGTGCAACAGAAAGCTGAAACACATGAGGCTGTGTTAATAGTGCTAAAGGCAGTTGACTAAGCAGGTTCCTGCATGCACACGTGGCTGGACATAGTATCAGCTAGAAAAAGAAGACCTTCAAATAAGTACTTCACTAATTCCTACTGAAGGGACCAGCTCCCCATTTCAGCAGCCATAACAGCTGATCATGTGCTTGTCTGACCTTGCCTTAGTCACTAGGAGGTCAGATGCCTGCAAGGAACCAATCAGAAGTTAGCTGGTGGTGCTATGCTTTACGGCTCTGAGTGTGCTTTACGGATAAGTGTACATCAATGACGCTCAGAGCATAGCAACTACCCTGGGAGGACCTATGGGCCATAACAACCAGTTGACCAATCAACACAGGGCAAACCCTCCAAGCCTGGAGGCA